CCGGAGACCCCGGAGCCGAGCCTCCACCCCTCTCCCTTCGCGCCTCCCTGCCTGCCTGTCCTATCACCCCACAGTCCTATCGGGCTCCTGCCAGCCCTGGCTGCAAGGTCGCGGATCTCCGAACAGGTATAGTTCGGATTCCCCCCCAATCCCCTCTTATCCCTCCTAGTCCCCCAGCAGAGGTTCCAGCCGTGACTACAGTCGCTGCGTAAAGAGAAAAACTCCCCCAGAGCACTAAATAAATACAGATGAGGCCGCCAGCTCATTGGTGCGGACTAAAATCGTCACCCACCAATCAGAAGACGGCTCACATTTCCCCCTTTTTTTTTCAGAAGGGGGAGGGAGAAAAAAATATTTCCATTTCTAATTATTCAACAAAACCTAGGCTGGAACACGCTAAAATACTGTTGTTCCCAAAAAGCTGTCCAGGACCCCCCACCCACCCACTCACTCCCCGTTCCAGCCCAGGGGAGGAGGTGGCGCCATATACTGGGAAAGAGGGGTTCGAGAGAGCGACCACTTCCAATGGGACCAGAGCCAGAAGATGCAGACAGAAAACGACAGGCATAGATGAGCGCAGACCTAAACTCCGCTCTGGGGCCCTATTTCTAGAAAATGAGAACGTGCCCCCCCCCGTGCTGCATGTTCAATAAGGGTGAAGCTGGTCCCTCCGCACCCTCCCTGAAACCCTTGCAGACACTGGGTGTCTAGAGGCCCGTCTGCCTCGGGTACCTTTTCGCCGCTGCAGCCCCCCCTTTCCCACCCATGCTGCAGAGTGTTGGAGGAAACAACAAGGGACACCTCTGGGACGGCCGGGTCCCACCACCGGGAGACTCCAGGTCTGCGGGAGGAAGGGGAAGGGAGGGGACGAGAGCCTAGGAGGAAAGCGGGGGAGACATCCCCCCTCCAGCTTTTCCCTCCTCTCCTCTGGGCCTCCCCGCCATCCTTTCCACCCAAACTTCGAAGGGTTGCAGCGCCACCCCATCCCTGTCCCCTCCCGCCCCCCTCATTAGTGTCTAGGGGTGTGAGCCAGGGACCTCAGACTGCCCCCCCAGTCCTCCAGAGGGAAAAACCTACGGCTGGGTGGGATCCTGCAAATACTGCAAGAACTTGGGGGAAAAAGTTGCCGTTTTTGCTTTTTTGACACCCTGGCATCGACGTGCGGGAGGGCGCGCGCGCACACACACACACACACGCCCTTGCCCAGCGTGCCCGGAAGGAAAAAAGGAAGACTCCGGTCGTCGAAGTGGCGGTCTACGAGTCCCGGTCGGCCCACCCCCTCCGCCCATCCATCACCCTTCTTCAACTCTGCGACCCACCCACTGCAGCCCCTCGGCGACGGACGGACGCAAGCACACACCCTCCCTCCGCGCGTCGGCGCGCCCGCCTGCAGTGTCCCGGGG